ATTTTTTATATATATATATATATATATATATTTATCATTTCAAGTAACAAAAAAAAATTTAAATACTTACAACGTAAACGAACCCAATCTGATAAGAACTTGTTTTTCTTCCTTAGCAATCTCACACGAAACTTATTTTATTTAGAGAAATATTTTACAAGACACTCAGCTTACAATATTTTAATCTAGCTCACTTCACTCGCTGCTTCAAACAACGTAGTATCTCTTCTTAATTCTTATATAGGCAAAGAGAGAATCTTTAAAAGCATATGATACATTACTTTGACCGCCAGGCACAACTTTGTCAGAAAATAAAGTCAAAATCAGATGCCTTAAAAAGATGCTTCATGATGACTTTTGAAGTGGCTGTCAAGTATAAGCTTGAGTGGCTCTCCGCTTAACTCATGCTAGATGCCGGGTACACATGTGGGCCTCATAGTCACATGTTACCAAAAGAATGCACATAAGGAAAGCAAACAAAGCAGAAGTATAAGTTTTTAGTCCATAGCAGAAGTTTACATAAGACTAATTTCTTAGTTCAATATAAGACTAATTTTATTTAGACAATATTTTTGCCTTTTGGATTGGTAGTTTTTATATCATTTAACACGTTGTTCATTTCTTCATCCCACATAGACCCATTTCTTCTTCTTGGTCTTGAGCGTCATGTAATATAGTATCACCTTCAATAGATTCTGTACTTTTAACTGATTTATTATCAGTGGTATCAAAGGTGATACGGGTGTATCTTCTTCCTTGCTTCGGGAGCTCAGCGATCCTCATGGAAGCTTGAGGATAGATGATTCTCATGGTATTTTGAGAATAGAAACGTGGACGAAGTCGTTGAAGGCGGCAACGTCGAAGAGTACAGGAAAACTATAGGAAAACACTTTGGACTTCCAGCGGTTGACTGCACGCGACGCCGCAGTCGACCGCGAATGTACACAGCTCAGGGAAAGTCTCTAGACTTTTCGTGGTCGACCGCGACGTACTCTACAGTCGACCGCCAAAACCCTGTAGGTAATTTTTGTCTCGGTCGTTTGCCACAGTCGACCACGATGGGTTCTGCGGTCGACCGCCAAACCCTATAGTCGATACTGAGTTTCGATCGTTCTGTCTGGTCGACCGCATGTGTCTCTACGGTCGACCGCGAGTCGGGCTGGGCCAGACTTCCAATTTCCTGTTCGCTTTAGGTTTTGTGTTTGATACATATTAAAACATGACTTTTCTAGGGTTTACTAACCAGATTGTATTCAGAAAGGAGATCAAGGAGATTGTTCTTTGATCTAGAGAGAGATTGTGAGAGAGAGATTTGTAATCTATTATTTCTCATAATCTAGAGAAGATATTTTCCTTCGACCAACTCAATTCTTGTGTGTTTTCGTTTGTCTTCTTCACAACCCACTCTTGATAATTCCGCGATCAAGAGTGCTCGTCCCGCGACTCATATCAAGTTGGTATCAGAGCGATTAGATCATGTGAAAGGGGGGTCTTGTGTATGGTCCTTACTTGATCGCAATACAAGAAGCTAGGTGAGATCCTTATTTCTTTAGAAGGAGTTCAGAGATTAAGGAAGAAGAAGATGACTGAAGGGGATAGTTCAGCAAGACTAGATGCATTAGAGAAACAGATAGAGACAATGTGTTCGACTCTCACACAGCTCGTTAATCTTTTCCAAGGAAAAAACAAAAAGGAGCAATTTTCTTAGAAAGGCAAGAAGAGACTTGTAGAGTCCGATGAGGAAGGTGAGGAATCGGATTCTGAAGAGGAGGCCGAAATTGTCAAGACTGTTCTGCATCAATGGGGTAAGGGTTCTTACCAGAATTTGAAAATAGACTTCAAGGTGGAGATTCCTGTTTATGATGGAAGTGTCAACTTCGAGAGGCTCGAAGATTGGATTGAGCGGATGAAGACATATTTTACCCTCTACGGATATTCATCCAAGGAGAAACTCGTGTTCACGGCGTTAAAGCTTTCGGGGCATGCATTGATATGGTGAAAATCCTATTGCAAACAGGAAAAGAAGGTGATGTCGTGGAACAAATTCAAGGAACTACTGAGGAAAAAGTTCTACCCGGTGGGGTTCCTTGAGGAGCGTTGGTATAAGTGATACGGATTGCGCTAAAGATTCAACTAGCCCGTTCAAGAGTATACGACGGAATTCCAGCAATAGGCGATGGTCTTCAACATCGTGACGGAGGAATATTCTATTTTTATGAAGTATATGACTGGTCTGAATGAATATATTCGAAAGGAGATGAAGTTGTTCACAGTCGAGTCTATTGCAGAAGCGTGTGTGAAGGCCATTGTCATTGAGGGTAGGAAAAAGAAGGGCAACGAGACAAAAGAGGACTCCAAACAAACGGGAGGCAAGTCTAGTGGCTCTCAACCTAAGGAAGAGAAGAATAAGGGTGATTTGGGGAAGGCAGGATTAACATGCAATCACTACAAACAGACAGGACACGTAGTTGATTGTTGCTGGGAGAAGTACCCTCATCTGAAACCAAAAGGGTTGAAGAAAAAGGAGGAGAAGAAGGCATACGTGGTAGCGCAAGATCTGAAGGAAGTTCCCAGAATGACAGAACCTAATAACAGTCTCAACCTTATGACGGGAAAGCAGCCCACGACAGAGAACGAAGACCCGAGGGAACAACTCTTTGTTTTGAAGTTGTAGGTCAAGACCAGCTTGGTTGATGCCATAGTGGATTCAGGAAGCCAGAAGAATTTGATATCTGAGGCCTTGGTTCAGAAACTAGGGTTAAAAATGGTCAAACATCCGAAACCCTATCCTTTAGGGTGAATTCAGAAGGAGGCGGGATTGAGTGTGGTCAACCAATGTACTTTTAGATTTGCACTCCACGAGTCGTATATTGACGAGGTCACATGCAATGTCGTTCTATTGGATGTTTGCCAAGTGATATTGGGCAATCCTTATTTATGGGATATGTATGCAGTCTATGATAGGTAGGCCCAAAAGTATACGTTCATCAAAGATGGTGAGCAATTCATATTTCGTTCAGCATCTCTACCACAGGAAATGAGTTTGGTGACGGTGACACAGGCGAAGAGGCTAGTGAATGTGAGCAAAAAGTTTGTATTATTATTCATTAGGCCTTATGAGGAGCAGCTGAGTAGGGTGTGCTTGACTACCTTGAGCAAGCTTTAGGAGGGAGATCTTGACAGATTGAAGGTCAAATATGCGGATTTGTTTTTGGAGATCACGGGATTACTACCACGACAGGGTGTGGAGAATGAGATTATGTTGATCGGCGAGAGTTCCTTGCCGAATATAGGTCTATACTGCACATCTGTAGAGGAGTCTGAGAAGATCAAGAGACAGGTTCAGGAGCTTTTGGAGACGAGAGTGATTGTACCGAGTTGTTACCTTGCGGGTCACCAGTATTATTGGTGCCCAAAAAGGATGGTGGTTGGCGCATGTGTGTGGATTACCAGACGTTCAACAAGATAACTATCAAGAATTGCTACCCATTATCTCGGATTGATGATCTTATGGACCAGTTGGAGGGAGCGAGGTTCTTCACAAAGTTGGATTTGAAGTCTGGTTACCATCAGGTGAGGATTCGGTAGGATGACACTTGGAAGACTGCGTTCAAGACCAAGAAGGGCCTGTTTAAGTGGTTGGTGATGCTGTTTGGATTGTGCAATACTCCAACTACCTTTATGAGACTTATGAATGATTTGTTGTGACCCTTTATAGAGGATTTTGTGATAGTTTACCTCGATGATATCTTGATGTACAGCAGGACCTGGGAGGAGCATCTTGTTCATGTCGAGAAGGTGTTTGAAATGCTGCAGAATGGATAGCTAAAGCTCAATGGGAAGAAGTGTGAATTTGGAAATGACGAGTTGGTGTATCTCAGCTTCATCGTGCGGAAGGACCAGCGGAGGATAGATCCAAGTAAAGTGGCGGTGATCACGAAGTGGCCGACACCTAGGACAGTGACGGAAGTGAGAAGCTTCATGGGAGCTTGCCAATATTTGTGCAAGTTCATTTGACATTTTTCGACTTATGCGACATATTTGCATGGCCTTATGAAGGCGAAGGTTCAGTTTGAGTGGGGGAGGATGCATGAGGACCTTCAAGGTAGAGACCGACGCTTCTAGTTATGATATGGGCGTTGTATTGATGCAAGATGGGAAGCTGGTGGAGTACCATTCAGAGATGTTCACGAGTGCTATTCAAAACTACCCCACCTACGACAATGAGTTTTATGCACTTTATCAGGCAATCAAGCATTGACGGGTGTATTTATTGCGAAAGGAGGTGGTTGTGCAAACCATTGGAGTTTTTACATGCCCAGATGAAGCTGCAGTAGGAACGACACATGAAGCAGATATCCTATTTGATGGTGTTCAACATCATCATTAGGTACAAAAAGGGGACGCCGAACAAGTTAGCCGATATATTATCTCACCCGTCCGTGAGGGCTCTTTTGGTGGCGACGTGCATTCAACCCTTGGTTCCTTTGGAGTATGTACAGATGTACACATATAGCAGAGACTTCAATAGTGTGTTCAAGCAGGCGAAGGCTGGTCGAAGAGGGGAGTATGAGATTGGTGAAGATGGTTTGTTGTATCGTTGGACATCGCTTTGCATTCTAGAGGATGGCGACCAATTACAGTGGATTCGAGAAGCACATACATCACGTGCGCAAGGTCATTTTGGGATTCAGAAGACGCTTCTCAATCTACGGCGCCATGTCTTTTGGCCAAAAATGTTGGAGGATGTTACTAAGTATGTTGGAGGGTGTAAGCTATGTTGCATATTGAAGCCTTCTAATCAAAAACGGGGATTGTATCCATCATTGCCGGTACCTTCGAGATCGTGGGAAAGTATTTCTATGGATTTCTTAGGAGGATTACCGACGACTAAGCGCGGGCATGATTATTTGTTCGTTGTGGTGGACCAGTTCAGCAAGATAGTGATCTTGATTCCTTGTAAGAAGACCGTGACGGGAGCGGGAACAACACAATTGTTCTTTGAGCATGTGTGGAAGCACTTTGGGTTGCCGAATTTGATTATTTCGTATCGAGATAGCCGGTTTCTCAGGTACTTTTAGGATTCTTTGTGGAGCTTGATGGATACTAGATTGAAGAAGAGCACGACCTTTCTTCCACAAACAGACGGACATTGTTATGGGTTTTCGGGCATCCCAAGACTTGGGATGAGAGCTTATCATATCTTCAGTTTGTATTTAATCGGGCTATTCATGGGTCTTCGGGGAAGTCGCCGTTTGAGACTTGTTATGGGTTTTTACCTCCGAGTCCGTTTGATCTAGTATTTTCTAATGAAGCTACGACCAAAGGTAAGAAAGGGAGTGAAAGACAACGAGCTCAGCAATTTATGGAGAAGATTGCACATATTCATGCCACGGCGGAAGCACAGTTGAAGAAATCACATGCTAAGTACAAGGCGAAACATGATCAACATCGAGTTCCTTGTAATTTTGGTAAAGGTGATATGGTGTGGCTGAAGTTGAGTAAGGAGCGGCTAAAGGAATAAGGGAAGAAGTTAAAGCCGATACGATATAGTCCATTTTGGATTCTTGATAAAATTGGTGACAATGCCTTCAAGTTGGATTTTCCACCTTATCTAGGGATGTATTCGGTGATCAATGCCGAGTATTTAAAGTTGTTGAGCCTCCATTGTTAGATGATGAAGGTGATGACAAGATGATATTACAACATGTTGACGATTTGTGGTTTGATAGAGAAGAGGTGGTCAAAGAAGATTGTATTTTGGAACAGAAGGTGACTACGACGAGACGTGGGACGAAGGAGTCGTTTTTGATCGGTCGTCAAGGTCAGGTTCCTAGCAAAACCAGGTGGTTCAATAGAGAGAGAGGGGCTCGTGAGTTCCCTCATCTTCAGTTCTAACTTGAACGGGACTTCAAGTTCCTAAAGGGGGGAGCCATGATACGAGTGTATCTTCTTCCTTACTTCGGGAGCTTAGCGATCATCATGGAAGCTTTAGGATAGATGATTCTCATGATATCTTGAGAATAGAGACGTTGACGAAGTCGTTGAAGGTGGCAACGTCGAAGAGTATAGGAAAACTGTAGGAAAACACTTTGGACTTTCAACGGTCGACCGCACGTGACGCCACGGTCGACCGCGAACGTGCACAGCTTAGGGAAAGTCTCTGGACTTTTTGCGGTCGACCGCGACGTACTCTGCGGTCATCTATTTGTATTTGGCAATAACCTGATTTTAAATCAAATTTAGAAAATACTTTTGCTTGAACAATTTTGTTTAATAAATGCTTTTTATTAGGAATATGATATCTTATCCATTTTAAAACTTCATTTAAAGGTTTATAATTAATAACCAAACGAGGGACTCCTCTTTCTTGTTCTGCTGCATTATTGACATAAAATGCAATACTACAACTCCAAGGAGAATAAGATTTTCTTATGAGTTTTTTCTCTATTAGAGAACTTATTTCTGTTTTACATAATTCTAAATAGTCCTTATTCATTTGACAAGGACGAGTCTTTGTAGGAATTTTTGTCTCTTCAAAATTATCTATATAAGGTAAAGTAACAATATGTTTCTTTCTATCCCAAAATGCATTTGGGATATTACTGCATACTTTTAATTTAAATTTATTTTCTATTTGAGTTATTAACTCTTTTTTATTTTTAATTTGTTCTTCTATTTGAACAAATATAATTTCTTCTTTTATAAAATTAATTTGATTTTTTTTAATAAAACATTTTTAACCTCGTTTAATAAACGAGTTTGAGGATCTGTAATCAATTCAAATTTTATATCTTGATTATTATAGGTATCTTTAATAACTTGAGTATCAACATTTTTTATAGGCATTATATTATGCAAAAATAGAGTACCTAAAATAACATGTTGTGATAAATCTTTTACCAAAACACAAGGGGTTGGTATGCATATGCCTTGCACACATGTATGTGCAGTAGGCAATTTATATCGAACATCAAGTTTATGTCCGCCGGTGCCACTTAAAGTTTGAGTGGTTTTTTCAAAATGTTTTGAAGGAACAATTCCTTCATTTATACAATTTAAATCAGCCCTACTATCAACTAGAGCTATTAGATCTAGTATAAATGTTTCTCCAACTATAGCTAAAGTAGTTTTAATATACCACTTCTGTGAAGTTACTTGCTGTAGTATTTGAATGAAATTTGTATTTTCTTCAATTTCTATACCTTTTGGTAATATAATTTGAGAATTAGTCTCTTCTTCTTTATCTTTAAGGATTTTTGAGAGAATGTATTTATTCTCTTGTTTCAATAGTCTTACTTCTTTCTTTAATTCATTAATCTCATTATTGAGATCAGATAAAGAGAGTATTTTTGAAGTACAAGCAGTATTTTGTCTTCTTTTGATAACTTCGGACATTCTATAAACATTATCAATTTTAGGTTTTTCCCTTTCTTTTGGGGTTTCAACCATTGAGGCTAATATATCTTGTTTTAATTCAGAAGATATATCTTCAGATAGAATTTTGGCTATAAGCTTTTTATTACAATTATCTGAGTTTTATCATATTTATAGATAAACCATTCATTTGAACTATAGCTTTCCAATAATCTGCATTTTGAGTATAATTATTAATCGTACAAACACATGATTTTTCTTCTTCTGATTCAGAAGATTCTGATTCAGAAGATGAAGAACAAGTTTCTTCTTCAGACTCACTATTAATCATTATCTTATATAATGTTCTTTTGAGCCCTTCATCTTCAATAGAATCTATTTTCTTTTTAGTATAACATTTACTAGCATGATGGACTATTTTACCACATTTAAAGCAATGTATTTTGCTTTTATCCTTTTGAAAAGGTTTCTTCTTATTTTCTCTCTTTTCATTATTTTCTTTATTAAAGAATTTTTTTCCCTTTTCTTAAAAGATTTCTTTTTGAAAGTTTTTTTGATTGTTTTCTTTATTTTCTTTGTCAGCTTTATATGGCTGATCAAAAGCAAACTGGTCACAAAATTCTCCTAATTCCTTTCTCTTAGCAATTCTTTGAGATTTTAATTGATTTTTTAATTTTAAATCATTACATAAAGCTAAACCTTCTTTAATACAGACATTAGCTAAATATCTGACATTACCATAAGGAATATATCCTCTGAATTCATTTCTAATTTTATTTCTAACTCTTTCAGCAAAAAGAGTAGGTAAACCATTAATAAATTTGGCTTTCCAATGAGTGTTATTAGCATCTGCTAAAGTCATAACTCTACTAAGATAAGTTTCTTTATACCACCTGAAATGAGTTAGTGATGGACACCTAAAATTTTGTAAAATGGTTCTAATTCGTTCTCCATCATCGAGATAAGCCCCTGAGGATGTGTAATGGCTATCATTAAAGTATATAGACATCATCTTCTTGCTGTAGATTATTTTCTAATTTAGTGGAGTTGATTATTTCATCTCTAGCATCTTTGGATAAATAGTTATCCCACCATCCTTTAAGGATGCCTGTGAATCCATATGTAATATATTAGACAATCATTTTATCTGTATTATTGTTTTGTCTACACACAGTATAATACATTAACATACGATGTAAAGTAGATAAAATATGATTGTCTGATTGACCATCTATATTCCATTCGTAGATATTTTTACCATTATAATCTAGCTTCATATAAGCATCATTTTCTTCAAAGAAGACATCTACAGGAGTAGGTCTTTTATAATAGTATCTTTTTAGCCTCTTATTAGGCCCTCCTTTTTAATTTATTTATAGTAGTAAATTGATCTTCAATAGACAATAATTTATCTTGAGTTATTTCTTCTTCAGATTCATTATTATGAATCATGTTTAAAGCTTCTAGTTGTTCTTCATCAGAATTATACGAAGAAATAGATTGAGTTTCTGATACCATATTTAATTTAGAATTATTAAATTTATTTGATATCATTTCTATGATATCAGATGTAATTTCATCTCCATGTTTAAAACCAGAGATATTGATTGGAGGTTTTATAGTAGCCTTTTCAATATTTGGAGATTTATTCTTTTCAATAATTTTTAAAGATGGGATGACTTCATTAAATTTTGAAATTAATTTAGTTATTGCATGTTCTATTCTTATTAATTGTTGACCTACAACTTGAAGATGGATGTTTGTATAATTATTTTGTTTAATAATTTTACTTAATTCTTTTATATTTTCATCCTGTGAATCTATAGGCTTTATAAAAGCATTTGTTTCTAAATTGGTAGTTGACACTCCTGATAAACGTAATAATTTGGTTGGCGGATAGATAGATCTAACAATAGATCCAGATCCAGTAAGCCATTGTTTTAGATGTTCTTCTAAAACATTGATATGTTTCTCTCGGTTTTGAATATAGTATTTTAAAAACCAAGGAATAAAGAATTCTATATTATTTTTAAGGTCTTGATAATATTTATCTTTCAAATCTCCTTGTTCTTTTTTAGAAAAAGTTTTGAAAAACCAACCTCTGAAGTTTCTATTTTTGTTTTCAAAGAATTCCTGATTTCGAACATTCCTAATTAAAGGATGTTGGCTTAAAATCATTTAGTGAATTCTAAAACTAACTTCAGATGTAGGAGGAGATAATTTCTCATCCTTATTATAAATTCCATGTGGAATATATTATTATCATAAATTTGAAGACCTTTTACTTCATTAGTTCTATAAGAACTTGCCCTAGAAATAGGTTTTCTAGAAGAACTTGATACATCAGATATTCTGACAGTTCTTGAAGGATTAAAAATTATTTCTACTTCTCCTTCTTTTGTTTGTATAATTTGCTAGATGTCTTGATTGGACACAATCTTTAATGGGAATTATAGAAACTAGCCTAAGTAATGGACCATTTTATTTTAATGTATACCCCAATTTAAGTCTTTCTTTGACTATTCCTAAAGTGTTAGAAGCTATAAGTCTTAATATTAAGACACATGGATATAATTTTATCCCTGGATCAGAAACAATTGCGATAATATATCGTATACATTATAAAATATTAACCACTTTAGCTCCTAAAGCTAAAGTACATACAAAACCAGGAAAAACAATTCTAGTTTTGTCAAATGTTTTAACATCAAATATTGTTGTTAATAGACAAATAAAATGGGAAGAAGTGAATTTTCCTGAAAGTTGGATAATAACTAATGCAATACAACCTCAGCGCTAAAGAAGGATAATATGTGTTAGAAAAATATTTTTGTCTTAATTTTTCTGGATCATTCATAAAAGGACCGTCTTCCTGTTCTAAATATAGAACTATGTCGCAAATCACTTTATTATGCCAAACAATTTCCTTTTTAGAATATTATCAAAAGTTTCAGGAGATTCTTATGAATTTAGAAGATCATTAACTCCTTTATAAATGGATTGTGAAGAACTTCCCATATTTCCCTTTTTTTGTAACAGTACGCCATGAATGAGGAGTATTACTCCTGGCGTTGTCATTACCATCCCCTCTCCCCCTCCCTGAAGAGGAGGGATAAGTCTGACGCATTGGTACCCTGAAGAAATTCTCTAATTAGAAAATCAGGATGGTAATTATTAATACCTTTAATTTAATCAATACGAAATTGATACATAGCTAATTTAGCTTGCCATTTAGCAAAAAATTGTTTAGAAACAAGATTTTTAACATCTTTCTCAATAATACTTTTAGCAGAACTACAATTTATTTTTAATAAAAAATCTTGATTAAGAATATCATCTCTAAGTTTAGAGAAACATTTTATAATAGCTAACATTTCTTTTTTAATTGTAGAATAATTATACTATGCTTTATCCCATTTTCCGAAAGTAAAAACGAACCAATTGTTCTTTATTAGTATCATGATCAATTTGCTTAAGGATACCTCCATACCCTATATTAGAAGCATCCATTTCTATAATTTTAAACCATTGTATATTGGCCAGATGAATACAGGGCAAACATTTAACATGAGATTTAATCTTTTTGAAAGCCTCAGTATGCTTAATAGACCAAGGCTTAGCATTTTTTCTTAATCTACTATATAATATAGCAGAGTCTTGAGCCAAATTTTTATAATAATCTGTAACATAATTTAAGGCTCCAAAAAATCTTTGTAATTGTTTATTATCAGTTATTTTATCAGGAAATTTAGAAGCAAATTCTATACTTCTATTAATAGGAATCATTGATCCCTTATTAATTTGATGACCTAAATATCGTATTTGAGTTTGAAATTTTTTTATTTTTGGGGCAGATATTGCTAGCCCATTTCGAATAGATAAATTTCTAATATCTCTAAATGTTTTATATGTTGATCAAAAGTATTTGAAAATATTAAAATATCATCTATATGATATAATAAAATCAGTATAAGGAATGGGTATTTCATTATAATATTCTGAAATTCAGATGGGGCATTTTTTAGACCGAATGACATAACATTCCATTCATAATGTCCAAAAGGTACAACAATGACATAGCATTTCACTCATAACATTCCACTCATAATGCCTCAATATCAGGTTTATCTCCCCAATCCATTGCAAGGGTAAATTTTAACTCTAATTCTGTTTTAGAGATTAACCTATACTATATACTTTCATGTGACTTCCCTGGTGACTTTGTATGACTCGGTATGTTTGACCATCCGTATGCTGTAATCTACAATCAGTTTTGCATGTAAATCTTTTAAAGTATGTAAATGGGTTGATGTGAAGATGTGCATATGTTTATGTATAAATTAGTATATACAAAATTTTAACATATCAATAACTAGCCAATATACAAAGTGAACTTACTAGCTTCAAAGTGGCTGATGCTCAATATGGGGTTGATACTCTCAATGTCCACTAGAGGCACTCGGAACCTATTAACAAAGACAATAGAATAATCTACTTAGAAATCATAAACGTCTACCCTCCTCATTACTATGATCTTATTAGGTTAGATAAGCTACCTATTGATTTCTCACAATAAGATTGGTACTTGTATCGGAGTTCTCAGCCCCATTGTTCCACGACCTTGTCCAGAACACCATTTGTTTTTTGCTTTAGCTCTACTTGCAACTGCATTTGTTGCTGAGAAGCTTGCATCTGTGGGGTAAGTAAAAATAATTGTGGAAGAGCATTTAGTCATAAAAAGTTTGCTAAAGATTTGGGCGAAGATCTCTAGTACCTTATAGAACACAATTAATGCACAGAAAAGTTCCTTGAATTGTGGCCCTAAATTTCTGTAATAAGAAACTTTGAGAGGACAAAATAAAAACTAAAACCTAAAAACAAAACTAGCACTCAGATACACAGCCATCCACATGCTTAGGCTTTTTGAATCTTTTCACATGCCTTTGGATAAAGATGCTCTTTTCATTTTTCAGGCATTAATCCATGTGAATCTTGGATAAAGATACACTAACAGCGGTTACTTTAAGTTCTCTTCATATATATATATATATATATATATATATATCTACTTCTTATTAACTAAAAGAGAACACTCAAAAAGCTTTTATGAACAGTAAATCTGATCTGGACCAATCAGAGTGTTCATAACAAAATTAGTTAGATTAAAAAAAGAGCTAAAAAATCCAACTCATCTCCGTACTCTCCCTCTAAACTTCCTTTTACACCCCACGTTCTCCTTAATAAAATAAAAAAAACTTCCCACGTTTCACATCCCACTTTCTCATTGAACATGTTTCCAAACTTCCCTTTTTACAACCCACAATTCTCTCTCTTCCTCTCTCAATCATCAGAAAAAGATTCAGAAAATCAAAAAAACTCCTTTGCTCCTCCTCCTCCTCCATCTTCAACGGCATCCTCCGCCTCCTCTGCTCCACCATTGCCGTCGCCGCCTCTGTCGTCGTCGGCAACGAAGAAGAGTTTCCTTCGTCGGGTACTCCCCTTTCTCCTCACCACCAATCTCGCCGTTGGATATAATAAAAAGTTGCAATTTTTAGGGTTTTAACTCAACTCCTTGGTTCTTATTGTTCATTTTCTCAATAAAAAATTGCAAAATTCCACCTTTGGTTTTTCTATGAGATTTT